TCGCTCAAGGATAACTGCTTTAAGAGAATTAATTGACATTAGAAAAAAGATGTGTTCCCAGCAAGACACCAACACAAAATGACGAATTGAGATGCAATCAGTTGTATTGTCGATCAGATGAGCCAACATTGAATGTGAAAGTATCTATAGATACAGATGAAGAAAATGACTAGTATTGTTCTGTATTCTTGATTGTGATGATGAATGAAGAAATAACACAAAGGATAAACCTCTCGCGTAACTCGCATTTTGATGGGTCAAGTCAGAGATTATAGTCAAGTAGATTTTTTTCAATTTGAGAAACTTGATGCCTACCAAGAGCTGAGCGTTGCGACGCGTGGAAACTATAAATCGATTGCACCTACTTTGAAATTACGCGCACAAAAAAGTACGTGTTATTTATAAGTTTTTTTGTTATTTACTCGAACTCATTTATTCTACTCATTTCTGAGTTATACCGGTTTATAGTGAACGTTTCTTGATTGACAGAAAATGCGATTACGGATGATTCTTACAAAAATGTCATAACCAATGTTATCGCAATTGTTTTGAATGCAGTTACAAACGACAGATGTTGACAAATTTTTTAAAAAGACATATTCAAATTTGTTCGGTTTAAACAAAACTAACAATAATTATACAAAAATGGTTTAATTCAGCAGTTGTCTATGAAGACTCAGTCGAGGATATGGCTCATCTCATGTACTATTCCGTGAACGTAATTTAGAAGTCAATAATGCAAACGATTTATATTTTCGACGATTCGAGACGCTCAGCTCTTAGTAGGCGTCGAATTCTCTAGATTTTGAAAAAATATACTCGACCCCATCCATTGACTACTCTTTACATCAATTAGAGATTTCTTTTCGTTTTGAAGATATTGTGGTGCGGAGTTTCAAGTGAAAACCCTGTATAAATATATTTCTGTGATCACACAAAACCACAGATTTTAAAAAAAATAGGGTGTTCCATTTGAAAAAAATAATTGAGGCATTCCGCAGATTGTTCTTTTTTCACGTTAAAAAAATTAGGTAAATTTTTGGGGTGGGCCTTTTAGATGGATAACCCTGTACAGTCGTCTTCAGAGATCATGTCGCGGTTGGACGGTGTCAGCGCTCTTATCGCAGAAGTTATTAGGAATGCTATCATCGTCCATGTGCTACATGTTTTCTGAAGACTACTGTACATACATCATTGATTCAAAAAAAAATCTCAATTGATCTCAACTTTATGCATAACAAACTAAAATACGCATAATATTGACAGTGGGTTTGACATTTATAGACAGGTACCTACTTTTCTCATTTAGTCAAAATGTGGTGTTGAAACATGAGTTTGGTTAATGTCAGCTCTGAATTTAATGGCGTTTTCCTGTTTTTTATATCACTTATTGTTCGATAATAGTCGATATTATAAACAGAGGCACGAGGTTCAGTTATTCAAGCCATGAATAAAACAAATTGAGTGAATGTTTATATATAACAACGATGCGATTGTAGAGTGATCGGTTATACCAAGTTATACTTTTTTATGTGGCCGCAGCATTTCTTTGCATGCCGTTAGATTTCATTGTGTTCTATATAAATCAGTTATTCCGTGAATTGAAGAAAAAAATTAATTGAAATGTATCTACAAAAATACGATCTTTCAATATTCAATAATCATGATTTTTTTAATATATCGATAACGTTAGCAGAAAAAAAAACAGTAACTAATCCGTCGAATTTGATCTTTCATTTCGTATCTTCTTGAAGCATTTCTGTTAAAATTTACCAGAGTAATCTGAATATTTCAATTCTTTCCATTTTTGACTTCTTGAATTTTTATATCATCACTGTTCTCAGGTTTTATCATATACTATATTACGACGCGTCTGAAGTGCCATCCTAGAAAAACTTCAGTGCTGATTCACAGTGCAATTATAAATTAGGGGATGTTTAGAAAAAAGTTTTCTCTACCTAATTTATCTTCTGCTAGTTCTCTCTGCCCAAATCAATTTATTTAGTGCTAATTTTCATTTGCAACTGTAGAAAAAAGTTACATTAGATGTTGTGCATGAAATATAAGTCTACTGCCTGATTTACAGTTGTAACAGTGAATTAGGAGATGTGTAGGAAAATAGTATATTATGTAACAAATGTTATAAACGTCATTTTAGTAACAAGCATTTCAAGCATGAGCGCAGCAGAGCGGAGTCATGATTATCATACATGTTTGGAGCCATAATGGGCTCATCTTCAGCGAGTGGTGAAATTCTACAACAAATTCTAGAGATAACTTTGTTTCGATTCCTGAATGATCTTAAAATCAGCAGCTAGACCGTTGGCGCATAACACTAGGGGAGTCGATTATCTTCGGAGGTATGCCCTTCAATAAGGGACATGCAGATTGAGTTGGATTATCGGTCTTATCGCAGTGCATACTTACGTAAATAATCTGAGAGAAATATCAGTTGATCGTACCTTGAGGTCCGTATGCCGCATTTCGGGACCATTCCAATAGAGCTCTTCTATCATACAATTTTCAACATTACTTTGAACATGAAGTTGGTTGATTTTGATTTTTTCCCGACAATCCAACTCAATATTCATATCCCTTGAAGAGCATACCTTCATAGATAATCGTTACCCCTAGTGTTATGGGCCAACGGTCTAAGCTTCACCAATCGATACAAACTCAAAAATATATCGCCTTTCTTCTTCCAGAAACGCCCTAGAGAGCGTGCTGTCGAAGAGCCACTTCGGCGACGACTACGCCCGGGCATACCTTCATAGATAATCGATACCTCTAGTCGAACAAGTCGAAGCCCTGAGGGGGCAGAAGGACGATCTAGCCTTCATAGCCATCTAGTGGCTTAAAAGCAAGGTGTATAGGTAGATTCACCAACTGTTAGTGGAACATTAAACCACTTTGAGAATTACAGGTGTTGCGATAGTCTACAGAATCTGACATGGATGTCTTTTCTGTAAGCATATAGACGTAGGGGTCTATATGCACGACTTAGTCGCAAGGTATGATTGATGAATCTACCTATACACCTTGCACTTAAGCCACTAGATGGCTATGAAGGCCAGATCGTCCTTCTGCCCCCTCAGGGCTTCGACTTGTTCGATATATGGAGGTAACCTTGGTGAATCGATTGTCAGCTGGCCAGTGCAACTGATGAGACTTATGGCAAGTCGAAACAGTCTGTCTTGCATCAGCTGACAATCGATTCACGAAATTTCCCTAGAATCTCTTAGTCTTGAGAATCTAGGTTTATCGATACCCCTAGTGTTATGGGCCAACGGTCTAAGCTTCACCAATCGAGACAAAGTCCGAACAATACCGCTTTTCTTCTTCCAGAAACGCCCTAGAGCGTGCTGTCGAAGTGGCGCTTCGGCTACGACTTCGCCCTGGCATACCTTCATAGATAATCGATATCCTTAGTGTTATGGGTTATGGGCCAACGGTCTGAGCTTCACCAATCGTTACAAAGGCAAAAATATATCGCTTTTCTTCCAGAAACGCCCTAGAGAGCGTGCTGTCGAAGAGCCACTTCGGCGACGACTGCGCCCGGGCATACCTTCATAGATAATCGATACCCCTAGTGTTATGGGCCAACGGTCTAAGCTTCACCAATCGAGACAAAGTCCGAACAATACCGCTTTTCTTCTTCCAGAAACGCCCTAGAGCGTGCTGTCGAAGTGCCGCTTCGGCTACGACTTCGCCTGGGCATACCTTCATAGATAATCGATATCCTTAGTGTTCAGATAGAACAAACTTCATCTCAAATTTTTGATGTCGACCTTGGTGTCCCACAAGGGTCGGTTTTAGGGCCCTTGATATTTTCACTTTTCATCAATGATATTTCAAAATTAATTGATGCGGGTTGTTTAATACTATTTGCCGATGACACATCTATCGCGGAGGCAGCAGACAGTACCGTGGAACTCGAAAATAAAATAAATTCAACTGCCAACAGGTTTGTTACTTGGTGTCATAATAACAGGCTGATGATTAATGCCGAAAAGACAGTACTTATTGAGTTTTATGGAAGAAAGATAGGGACAACACTTGAAGTTTTTGTTAACGATACGCGTATCACTTCTTCTGAATCTACCAAATTTTTAAGAATATTTGTCGATAATAATATCAGCTGGAAAACGCATGTGAACTCAGTCTGTAAAAAACTGAGCTCAAACTTCTATGCAATGTTTCAATTGAAAAATATACTTGACAAAAATGCCCTTCTTGACGTGTACTATGCCCTGATACATTCTATTATATCTTACAACATCATTTTATGGGGAAGTAGCACCCACATTGACAGAGTATTCATAGCTCAAAAGCGTGTTATATGACTTATATTCATTTTAAAACGGACCGATTCATGTAGACCCAAATTCAAGGAGTTCGAAATACTTACAACACCATGTATCTACATATTATATCACTGTGTTGTATATATAAAAAAAATGCAAAGTGACTTACAAACAAACTCTCAGTCCCACAGATATTCAACAAGAAGTGGTGACTTGCTCAGAACAAAAAAACACAGAACAACTCTATTCGAAAAATCACCTTCATTTTCTGGTATAAGGTATTTCCACTGTCTGCCTACCGAAATTAAAACAATAACTTCACTCCACCTTTTCAAAAGAAGAGTCAAGACATTACTAGCCTCTGAGGGTTTTTATTCAACCGATGAATTCCTCAATTGTAAATTTCAAAATGTTTTTATTGTTTGTGGTCTTGTGTTGTATAATGTTCCTACTTTATTCCTTTCTTCAATTTTTTTCTTATATCAACTACAAAAGTGAACGTTTCATATGTGTTATATATTGTATTTTGTATAAATACCTATATACATTTTTATGACATATCCTATACCATTGTAAAGTGATCTATTTGGGATGAATAAAATATTGTATTGTATTGTATTGCATGGGTTATGGGCCAACGGTCTGAGCTTCACCAATCGTTACAAAGCCAAAAATATATCGCTTTTCTTCTTCCAGAAACGCCCTAGAGAGCGTGCTGTCGAAGAGCCGCTTCGGCGACGACTGCGCCCTGCTGCAGCCGACCAATAAGGTGACAGTTAGAAGGTCGCAGACGCAGAACGAGATGCCGCAGGCGGTGGCCGATCTGCGCGCCAAGCTGCAGCTGCGCGGCGAATCGGAGTGGCGCAAAAGAGTGCCGCACCACAACAATGCCACCGACGAGCTGAAGCTGCTCAAAGAAAAGAACAGATACAATGTGAGTTTTTAAGCTATTCTTCCTTGAAGTTGACCAAACAACGCGGATGAATAATAAGTTAACCACTCAATTTTCCTCGAGTTATGATCCAAACTATGACTTAATAGTTTACCAACCACACTGATGTAGTTCGCGGAGTAGTTGAGGCTTCTGAGACTATAGATTGGGAACTAGATTGTTGTCTGAAGTTATAAGTTAACCAGTCAATTCACCTCAAAGTATAATCCAACTTATGACGTAATAGTGTCACGAGTAGAACATACAGTATATTAGTAATTTCGATTTCGAACCATGAGGGTTATCAAAAAAATCGCTCGAGTATTGCTCTCGCGATTTTTTCACTCCTTTTATTCTCGATTGTTGGCCATGACAATAAAACTTCCATACAATTCAACATGTATTTATCGATAAAAAAAATCATCTCATGTATTTACCCTTGAGAAAATGAAGCAATGTGCGGCAGTTGAATGTCGCAATGATGCTTTTTCACAACCCTTATCAAAAGTCAGGATGATCCCTGAAAGCGTGACAACCACAAATCATATTTTCTTAAATGGACCACCATGTTTTTTATATTTTTCTTCGGAATCTGCGATTTTTTGTGATCACAAAAATATATATATACAGTGTGATATATTTTATTTTTACTTCATCACCACTTTTTTGACCCCAGAAAACAGTTTTTGTGTGTTGGCTTCTACATATATCGTTTTAACCATTAATGAAGATATATTTGACATCGAGTTTGACATCATTATCGAATACATTCCTAAACTGATCGAGTGATCACCAACTAATCAGACAAAAATTGTTTTTCTAAAGAGTGGCAATAAAGAAATAAAAATAGAAGATATCACCCTGTATATATATATATGTATTTATGTGATCACAAAAATCCATAGATTCCGTGATAAAATATAAAAAACAGGGAATCCTATTTTTAAAAAATAATTTTTGGTTTGTCACGCCTTTAGGGATCACCCTATAAAACTTCTGATGAGGAATGTGGAAAGGGATCATTGCGGCATTCAACTTCCACATATTGATTTTTTTTATAAAAACATAAGGTGAATAGAGGCGTGGGCCTTCTCGATGGATAACTCTGTATAACCTTGTATATTTTCCTCCTGTATATGAACCCTGTATATCTACAGTGGTGGGTAATTGTGAAAAAATTATAGATCTACTTTACGAGATATTACCAAACTAACTATGTTAATGACACACTGTATAATATATGTTGCATGCTAATAATGTGTTAATTATTTGAATCCGATCACGCTTTAGTGGAATTATAGTATAGATATTTTTTGCAATGATGAAATAATGTTCACGTTATGTCTCTTTTGATAAAAAATGTGGAACAGGTGTTTCAAGTTCATTGCTTCTATAAACTGTCCCAGCACTCACGTTTGTGAGATATTTGCAATACAATGGTCATAAACTTAACTTTCAATTTCTTGAAATTAGCGGTAGCTTTCGATAAATTTTATTATATGAACCTGCAGTATGCAAAACCATTGATTGGCAAAGAGAAATTTTGTTTTTTATCTGGTATCTGTTATAGATTTGTTCCACCTGATTGAAAATAACAAAAGTACTGTATCTGAAAGGTTAATGTATGTAGTACTTTCCTCATTCCATTTCAACAAATAGGAAGCCATCACATTCGCCTTTCCGGTACTATGTTTTGCTTCAAGCAATCGATTATGTAATAACACGGTGTTACTGTTAGGTGTCAAGATTACGATGGGAATAAGTACTCGATTAATATCGATCTAATTCCATGGTGGTATACCAGATCATTGGCGGTCTGTTTTATATCGAATAATATTATTATTATGGCAGGTTGGTCAGAGGATTTATTTTCACGTATGAAAATGAACCAGGCAATTGAGAATTGCATTTGAAATAGCAATCTGTTCGGATCTCCAGCTATGACCCTTTGGCGATGCTCTTGCAAGAAGCTCTTCACTTCTGACTTGAAGGCACCCCATATATGTTCAATCTGATTCAACATAGGGCTCTCAAACACCGTTCCATCCACTGTAAACAATCTTCTCTTTTGCAATTAAAAACATTTCAAACATATAAAAGGATTTCATCTTCTGAAATTGAACCTACCAATAATAATTCTGAAATACAACTTACCATATCTGAAATTGAATGAACTTTTTCTGAAATTCATCTCACCGATTCTGAAATTGAGTTTACCATTTCTGAAATCGAACTAACCAATTCTGAAATCGAGATTACTTTTTCCGAAATATAACTCACCGATTCCGAAATTGAAGTTGAAAAGGTTTAGATAATTAATCATAGGCATGTTGATGATTCTTTTCGAAATATGAGTTATACTGAATGATGTAAACCGGTAATGAAATCAACGATGTTTCTCTAAAAGGAAATGTAGTAATTTTTCTATATTGGTTGCGAAACCTCGAATGAATCCATCGACGGTACTAAATTGACTCCATGCTGCCTCTCTTTGCCTTTTTTGGTCCATTGATGCTGGAGATCTTCGAAGTCGGTAAAGTGGCTAATTAATATGTTAATCCCATACTTCCGCTCGTCATAAGGAAAGAGGTAAGCGGTAACGCTGGAGATATGAGGAAGATACAAGTTGATTAGGAAGTAAATTGACAACATATTTCAGCTAAGATCATGAAATAAAATCGTTCGAGTGTTTCAACTACGAACTAGCCACAATGTTGTTCATTTTATGAACATTATGTGGAAATGACTTTGAGCTTTTTGTATTTATTCAACATTTCATTCCATTTTGAGCATTGTGGCTTTTTCGTAGATGGCGTTGCTGTCATATCTTCTATGATCAACGCCTCTGAATTTGTTACTTTGGAAATAATTCTAAATTTCTGATTGGTGAAGTTACTCTATGTTTATCCACGTATATTCGAAATTATACCAGGTAGCACATCTCACTGATTGGTTTAAAATCATGCTAAGAAAATTATAAATACCTTATTTCCACGAAGCCTGAAAAAGTGTGTTTATTGCATCGAATTCTTCACATCTTCAACTGGGATCTTAGCTTTCTGAATGATCAAAACGATTGATGACGTATTTTCAATTCCATTCTGAAAATATTTTTTATTCAATTCCATAATTTTTTTGTGGTCAGACATAATAAGAGTATTCTGTGTTACTGATAAATAGAAATCGTAAGGTGATTTTGGATTTAATTGCGGTTTGAACAATCGAATTCCATTAAAAAATACACCAAAAATAACTAGGCAATGTATAATGATTTTATCGAGTAGGAAGTATGGAAATACTTCGTTTTTTTTATTTTTCAGATTATTATTCAACAATAGATATGAATGCATACCACTTCATGTGTCGATAAACATGTGGTTATCACTTGAATTTTATCGTACAGGGGCGCTCTATACATACAAATAATTCAATGATATTTTGTTAGTTGACATTGACAGTATTGTTTGTATATTATGGCAAAATTCCGAATTCAACTGGTCAGTACTGTCAGTAAATCCACTGACTCTACTGGAAATTTGTGTTCCGTTTAAAATCAAAAATAAAGAGCTGTAATTCCGAACACGTTTTCATGGTTTTCATCAGTATTCAGCAGTAGTTAATAATCAGCTGGTGGTGAAATTTGTCAGTCTGTAGTTTCTCGTTTACCTGAACTCGATATTTAGCCTCCTGCTTGATATAAATTTTGGAGATTAAATATTTAACATGAAAGAGCAATCGATTCTTGTAGCCTCCATAGTTTCTACGATTGTTGACGATGACGATTCAAGCTCGAGAGATGAAGAATACTTGGACATTAGGTTGCCATTAATTTTTCATGTTGCACCAGATTGAGAATTGAAAGATTCATGAAAAACGTAATATGGCATTAATAATGATGAATTTAGGAGACTATTCTGGTTTCTTTAGTTATTTATTTAGCCAATGCTGCTTCTTCTTTCGTTACCTCTACTACTTCATACTCCATATTATTCTCAGCGTTTATTATTTCAATAATAGCTATAACAAGTATTTCCTGGAATTGAAAATAATATCATCAACAACGGAAATAAATATTACATTCCTTCTCACTCTAAAATAATGACAGTTCAATGAAGCCACACTACCTTCTGATAGTCAGCAATTTCAGCAGAATGTTGAGTCGAAATATTTGGAATGAATAGTATGTCTGCTCATAAGCATCTGTCACTTTTAATGGATTTTTTTATTTTGAAATGAAAAATCAGCAGATTCAGTACTGTCAGTTGAATTCGGAATATAGCCTTGGATACCTCAATTATGATATATCTATGCCGATATTCTGTCTTATTTCACACATACATATTTTGAATTAAAAATCAAAGAGATTATTCTGTCATATGTAAAATGTGACGTTTTATTTACTACAACATAATAAATCTTCCCCGATTACACTTTATTGATATTGAACTGTCAGAACAAGACAAGTGAGATTTACATTCGAAAACATCTCGATGCTATCAATTGTAACGGTTAGAATGATTGCTCATAGGTTACAATGACCATTAATCAATTCACATAATTCAATTCATCCTGTAATTCTTGTTTAAAAGATAAAGGCTGTGTCAAGTCATTCGTTCAACCACAGTGGTAATGCCAAGATGGCCAATGGTTGACTCCACTCCCATCAAGAGATAACATGGTAACTTTGTGACCGATATTCCCAAACAGCCCGTTGGTCAAACCGATGGTCAGACTTCATACTGAACGTATGTGCCCGGTCAAACCACAGCCAAAAAGCTTTTTAAATTTTTTTCTAGTGTGACCATATGAAATTTGTTTCTCAGGAAGGCTGTACTAGTTGTAATGTTATATTCTCCACTATTGCTATATTCAAGATATCTTAAAAATTTATTCTGTATGATTTCCAATCTAGTCTTGTATATAGCGTATTGTAGTCGCCAGATAACATTTGCAGAATTCAGTTTACTGTATACAAAGGAGTAGTTCATAGTTTTATTAGATTGAACTATTGAAATAACAACTTTTTTATCCTCTGTGTGATTTTTGTTTCTTGGTTAGTTTTCGTGGAAACAAGAAAAATTCGATTTGACTTCAAATCTAATATAGGTGTTTTCAAGACTTCCATTGAGATTACCGGATAACCCCAATTACAATCATTTTGAAATTTCCAATCTCTCTCAGTCTCCAACCATATACTGAATTTTGTCACCATGAAAGCTTATACAGGGGGGTTATGAAAGAAAATAATTATTACTTCCTACTTCAACATCCTGTATCTCAAAAACGGAGCAAGTTAGGAAACATGTTGATATGAACTTCATTTGCTAAAATATCCCAAAGAATCACCCATTGAATTTTTTCGGCGTTATTCAGAGACACCCTGTATATTACTAACTATACCGCTAATTCCATATAATCAGAGCTCATTCATTTACGAGATCGAAATTAGAACTTATCATATCACTCACTCTTATTTATGTTTGCGACATTTTTGTCAAAACAATAGGTAATTGTCCAGACTTGTTTAATAGCTGTCCTAGTGCGGTCCTGTAGTGGAAACCTTGATAAACCGAGATTAATGTGACTTATCAAATCACGAAAATTCTATCAACTTCTATCTATTGACGAAATTAGTCATGGCCCATATGCGGTTGACATATTTCATCCCCTCTACATGAATTAAAAATACTGGTGAAATCATTCGAACAAGAATCAAAATAGCTCTAGTGCATTATACGAACATAGTTCTAGAAACGATGGCATAGCGGGAGGCAAAATCCTTGTGTGACAATAATTCTATCCAACAGTATATGTTTCGACATCTTGCTCGTGAATGGTGTTTTAAAAATCGGAAAAAAGTTGTGTTAAGCCATATTATATTGAGTGACTTATGTACTTACTCTGTTCTACACAATTCTACAACATCATGTATATTAGTGTTGATACAGTTTTGGGTTATTTTGATTTTCTGCCAATTTTATCAAACCCTACTAATATGTACTAGTAGACATTTTTACAATTTACTAAGCTATTTTTGGTGAAATCGAAATTGGATAATTTTGTATCATTCCCAATTATAACCAACGTCGTTGTTACTATTTTGAATAATTTTTGTAGCTTACTTGCGTTATTTCTTGTTTTATTATTTCTACTGCTAATTCAAGTCTACCCAGCATTGTCGTATCCATTGTTTTCTTCATGTAGATAACCTCAGTAATTTTTTGTCTGTTTTATTATTTATTCTGCCTCAGGGGATTGATTACTGTGAACTCAACTATGTTTATTATGTCAGATTATTTATTTATGTGTTACTGATGATGAGCACTGTCAACTTCAATTAATTTCATACATTTTCAACTCTACTACTATCTAGTATTATCGAAACCATTGTTCATTCTTGTAGGTTACCTGCGGCATTTATTATTTCATTATTAATTCTACTGCAGGAAATAAAGCACTGTTAATGATTTTAGGATAGTTCAAACTATGCATTCAATTTGATTCTACATTATCATAAACATTTATTATATGTCTGTAAATTAGGTAGGAGCGTATCTTATTCATTGTTATTTTCTTAATTCGACCGCAAATGATTGAATACTGTTAAGTAACGTTATTTTGAACATCAGTTCAAACTAGTGATGCAACTGTACATGACGTTATTGTAATGTCACATTAAACACATATTATCGTAATTCTACAGTTGTGTAGATGTCAGTTTGACAAATTCCATCGGTTAGTTGTGTAATTGTTTCCCGCAATGTATCTGATACTGTTGACATCTCTGTGGATAATTTTCTGCTATTATTGGTGCTGTTAATTCTTGTAGGTTACCTGTGCTATTTATTGATGTTTCATTATTAATTTTATTGCAGGGAATTAAGCACTGTTAATGCCGTTTTGCATTTTATGTCAGTTCAAACTATGCGTTCAATGCAATTCTACCCAGCATTATCGAGAAAATTTATTATATGTCTGTAAATTAGGTAAAAACTTACCTTATTCATTGTTATTTTCTTAATTCGACCGCTAAAGATTGAAAAGTGTTAAGTAACGTTATTTTGAACATCAGTTCAAACTAGTGATGCAACTGTACATGACGTTATTGTAATGTCACATTGAACACATATTATCGTAATTCTACAGTTGTGTAGATGTCAGTTTGACATTTCCATCGGTTAGTTGTGTAATTGTTTCCCGCAATGTATCTGATACTGTTGACATCCCTGTGGATTATTTTCTGCTATTATTGGTGCCGTTCTTCTCGACAGGACGAGCTATCCGAGAAGTCGCTGTTGACGCTCAAAAAGGACGAACTGGACGCCTCGTCCAGACAATGGAGAGCGAGGGTGGAAAAATCCGATGCCGAGAAATTTTCCGTGGCCGGGAAAATGGGGGAGAAAATCAGGGACGCCGTGCCGACGATAAATATTCCGACGGCGGACGAGAACAGGAAGCGGACGCCTCAGGCTAAGAGATACAGGTCGAAAGAAGGTAAACTTATTTATCTACTCACTGAATCGAAAGTAGGCGTTTGCTTCTTTTGGCGTCAATATATCTATAAAATCTGTGCAATCCAAGAAATCAGTGTCTTTATCACTATTATAAAACAAATAACAATAATATCCTTTTTGAATTCCAATAATATCATATACTTCTTCATATTCCGAACTCACTTCTTATCAAAACTTTTAAATGCAGTTACACAATATACAAATCAATTAATTCATGATGACAGAAGGGTCAAATCGACTTTTGGTCAAATGCCGTCAACTGTCCATGGCATACTATACCTTTGTAATGCATAATAATGGATCGAGAGAGGATTGAAACTCAATTTAATATTCTCCTGAAGATGCTAACATAGTTAGCGAAACACGTGTCGAGGCGTTTAAAGAATCGGTTTGGTTAGTAGTGAAACAATGTAGTGTATTATCGTGCCAAATGTTCCAGTCTTCGATATATGTATTCATTTATTCATTGAATATACAGGGTTTCCCTTAAGTCAAGGATCAGAAGATGTGGGGTGGTAGGGGAGGTCATTTGATTTGCAATCAAACTAACCGTCTATGTAGTTATCCTATTGTCATTGGTTCAATACTTATTCATTTTTTTTGAAAAACGCGACCCATTGAGATAAATGTATAAAAGGATGTTTTGAATATGGTATACCATTTCGGAATCTGTAAAAATTGGACAACAATTTCTGATAGTTGGTGATCTTTGTGAGGTAGTATTTCAATCTGTCAGTGGCATTTTATACAGTTGACCATAAAAATCTCTTAGGATACTTGGAATCGATGGGACTCAGAGGCATTGTTAAAAATCTTTCCGAATCTTATCTTGCGAATAGGACAATCAGCACTAAAAATGTAATATGTTAGAGTCTAATGAACTTTCAATAAGTCAAGGTGTTCCACAGGGATCTGTTTTAGGGCCCATCTTGTATTTATTATATATTCAGAATATTTATAAAATTGGATTGTCAGGTAATTATACTTTATATATATGCAGATGATACGAAAAATGGCTTCATTCAAACATTTTATCAATTAATACCAATAAATCTGAATACATAATATTCCATCAGAACAATGAACAGAATATTAGTCTCAATCTCCAAATTAAAAATGAAGTATTGAAAAGAACTACACACAAATAAATTTTGGTATGTGGATTGATGAAAAATTATCATATCCATATAGAGGTTCTAGTTCTGATACAAAAAATATCTCCAATCATTGGAGCTTTGTGAAGATCTAAACTTAACAAAAAAGTCATAAACATAATACTTCATTCTCATATACTCAGTCGTATTACCCATATGATAAACGTTTGGGGATCTTGTTCAAAAAATTATTTCAGTAAAATATCTGCACTTCATAAGAAATCACTGAAAGTATTGTATCGCCTCTCATTCGATATCCCAACAAATTATCTGTATGCGATAACAGAAACAGTTTCATTGGATGAATTATATAAAATAGATTCTCTCAAAGTTTTATATAATATCATAAACAATAATCTGAAATCCAAGTTTGTTTCGATAAGCAACTCAGAAATCCATGGTCATCACAAGAGACAATTAAACTTATTTCATCTTAATTCTGCTATTTCTATAATTGGCCAAAAAGATTAACTTACGCTGCTCTAGCTGAATTCAATAAATTACCACATAATATAAAAAATTGCAGACATATATCAAAATTTTAAATTGAATTCAAAAACACATGATTTTATTACGAAATGGATAAAATTGATACTCCGCCATCTACTGATAAGTCCCTGTGGCTATTTTTATGACTTGATTTATTCAACATTTATAGATTTTTTTGATTCGTTGTTGTTGTTGTTGTTGTTGTCACCTTATGTTATTTTATTATTGTTGTTTGTAATCAACTTCCTCATACCAGAATATTATTTCTGACTGGAAGCTAGTTTCTCAATAAACTATAAAACGAAACTCAAGGAAAAGGAAGGAAAAGAACACTTTTCTTAGTTTATATATGAGCTAATGCAGGTCATAAAAATTATTTCTTGGGAGGTATTCCTCGAGGCATATAACCTCCAGAAATTTAAGAACACCAATTCCTACCTTATTTCCCTTGGTTATCACGATGTTCTCTGAACATTACAGGATATCCCTTCTCGTGGGAACCAGAACATAAAAAAAGCATGTTGATTGTTATTCTCGATAAATATTATCATAGATTAAAATCCTAATCAATGATATTACTAAGTAGTAGTTGTAACAATCGCAGAAGGCAGATTTTCGATGGCAGTTATTTACAGCTTGAAAGAAACTTCAAACAAAATTTCATAATAGAATTCATGAAGGATCCAAATCGGAAGATGATTTTTTTGTTGACCGTAAATGATGTTTTCTGGGTTTTCAATTATCAGTTGATTTTCACTTGGTACTGGCGTAGTTTATTATTCAGAGAGACCTTCAGATAAAACATTGAATCATAATGAACGCAAACACTTATAAAATTAATTTTTACCTAAATTTTTGAGATAATAATTTCGTTTTCCTGATAACCTCAGGTAGGCGTGTTTTTACAAACAATAGTTCAGTGATACAGAACATCAACAAAGCTCACAAGCATTCAAACATGTCATTAGTTTTCGAATTGCATCGTAAGTCAAGTTTTACTTCACTACCTACCACAATTGCGTCTATTGGTTTGAAAATTATTTGGTCTATAAACTTCCCTTTATTGAAACCCAAATAGTTGACAACTTTGAATTACACAATAGGTACCTATTAAATGTTTGAAATAATTAAATTTTCAGGTCCTGATTCTACACCTACATCACCAGAAAAAAATAGCCACTTTGATCTCACGAGAAGTAAATCTACACCTTTCTCAACTATAGTCAACCTTGATACTACTGGTGAGTGACTACACTGTATAGTAGGTATATGTACGGATTAAACAACCTGTACCTTTATTCATCATCTATAGTGAATGCTTTTGGTCATTTCCTAGAAATATATGATATAAAGTTGCTCAGACTGTCTTCAAGAAACGAAATTATATACGTAGATGTCGAAATTTTGACCTCTCAATGTCCAAGTCTGAAGAAGAAATCATGGCCTCTTGAAGTTGATTGACTTTTTGGTTTCATTCCTCACTTCGACAAATTAAAACAGCAGAAGTTTTCGATACTCATTTGATTACTTTCCAGGCTCACCCACGAAATTTTCGTCCAGAAAAGTGTCCGTTGCTAACCCGGATGACATCACCTTCAGAGCCTTCTTCAAGAGCGTGGAGGAATCGACCACCACCTGCGATCGGATCGATTTGGCCATCGAAGATTTCGATGCCGTGGAGCGACAATCTCTGCTGGTCATCAAGAAGAACGTGCAGGTAAGAAGGAAACATTTTACTTTCGATTTGATTCTCAAATTTCACCTGACATTTTCATTAACATGGAACATTTTGGGATATGGTAGTCCAATTCTGTGACAGTTTGCATGCTGTGCAAAATTCATTTGTGATAAGGTTATCTACCCATCAATCATCAGAATCAATATTTTCAGTAGTAATACTATAAGTACTTCAAAATATTCGAGTTATACATGGATAACTTGTTGCATAATTACAAAGATTTAGTTTAACAGTTGAAATAATCCGCAAGCGAAGAGGGAGGATTATTCTGTTGAAGTGGCAAGATTTGTAGTTGCGTAGGATATGTATGACCTTGATATTTATAAGTTCAAATTATTTTTCGTGTAGATTTAAACGTCAAAATTTCACGACCCGCTTTGTATTCGCGAGATTCACGAAGTGGGCGACATCTAGGTTACATAATACGAACTTCAAACTGGGGGAAAACAAAATGTTGTCTATGGATAAAGTGCATAGACTACATTGCATTCAGCTTGCTGTAGCTGTAGTCAAACTTGTCAATAACATAAAGTGTTGGCACTGTTGGTAGTGATGATGGTTGAGTTGGTTAATTTTTTTACATTATTATCTTTTTAATAGTTTAGTTAACAGTGAACGGGTGAAGAATTGAAGATAGTTCAAACAATTCAATCTAATTATGACGAGCAAATCAATTGACATATAAATGGACAGCTACAACATGTTTACAATAATTCAATCAATATATTTCAATCAGAATATGAAAAAAGTTCGCTTTCTCGGTGCTCGCCCTAGACTCTACTGATATTTCTGGACTGAATAGTTACTGCAGATAACAAAGACCAAAATACACATTCGAAGAATCAGATAATGAGAGGAATATATATCTTCGAATATCCGCATCTTGACTAGATGAAACAAGGATTTGAAGATGAAGGTGACGTTAGCATGTTAGGTTGACAATGTAGTTCGTCTTTTTCTTCTCTTCTGATAATGTACTCACTTTACACCCTTTGAAAAGTTTATTCTGATGCTCCATTATTGTAGCCGTCTCTGAAGTCGATAAAATATATCAGATACCCAGTCAAATTCGGAGTGCTGCAAGGGTGTTGAGAACTAATTTGATTATTTAAATATTCAGTTCTCAATTATTGTTGATTTCAATGGTATGATGAGATATATTTGAATGTAGTATTGTCGCAGGAATTTACCATATTTCAACATGCAGGTGCAGAAGAGGAGAGGCGCCTCTAGGAATCCCATCAAGGCCCTAGCTTCGAGGACCGACATTTCCAACGAGTACACCGAGATCATCACCGGCGCCGCTGAGAGAGAAAAGAGAAGACTGAATATCGAGAAATGTAAGTGAATACTTTCTTACCAATCATATGCTCTTATTTTGAATGGTTCTCATGACAAATAAAAACATCTCCTGATATAGCAATAAGAAATTCTGTCATATCTAAAATCCTGATAACACGGGTCAGTTTTTTAATCCATATTCAGGATGTATTGCACCATGTATCACAGAAAGAGAGAGTTCGAATGGGAAATTGGATGAAAAATAGTGCATGTCCAATTTTTCATTCACAGATCCGACCTGTCCTGCAATACTGTTCCCATATATGGAGTGCAGCACCCAAAGATACCCTGAAATTGTTGGATTCTGTCCAAAAATGAGCAATTCGTTTCGTGGGTGATGCCTCGCTCACAAACTCACTCACTTCTCTGGAACACCGTAGAAAAGTAGGCGATCTGGCTCTATTTTATAGATATTTTCATGGACGATGCTCTTCTGAAATATCAAAAATTGTTCTTCCCTTGGCAGTACCCGCGAGATTAACCCGTTCAGGCATCGCACTCCTTCGTGGTCACTTTGGAGACCTGCAGAACATCTCTTTCCAAAGACTCGTTCATCCAACGAACAGCGAGGCTCTGGAATACATTGCCAAGGGAGGTGTTCCCAGAGGCATATAACCTCCAGAAATTTAAGAAGAACACCAATTCCTACCTTATTTTCCTTGGTTCTCACGATGTTCTCTGAACATTATAGGATATCCCTTTTGGTGGGTACCAGAACATAAAAAAAATATCATCTTCCGTAACAAATAGAAATTTTGGAGAAATATTTGAAATAAATTGAATTTCAGTAAGTGATATGATGTATGCATACAAGGTGTTCCACTGTGTATATCATTGCATTTTTAGATTCTCCCTGAAGAGCTGATTTCATCAATGCATCACACTTGTCTAGCAGGAATGGTTAAAGACATATGTGGTGTTCAAAATCGAGATTTTGCAACGTTGGGATGTTTTGTGTCAAAAATATTCATAATTGATTCAAACGACTTTGAAATGAATTGAATATAAAAAGAAATTGGGATGGGAAACTCATCACCGTTCGCTGGTTTCCTCTTCTGTGAAATTGTTTCGTTGGGTTTGAATAATTTATTCATAACACGATGCTTCTCTAATCTAAAACTTAGTTCATATCAAATATCGAATTTCAAATGAATTGGGAATTGATATTATACGAATTATACGAGTTAGATGGAATATGAAACTGAAATATATACGAAAACTATTTGCAAATTCTGTTACCTGTCGTTGTCTACATTGACACATAGAGGTGAATAAGAAGAAAGGAAAATGATGGTCCCACCACCACCCCTACTAGAACGTAGGCTACTGAATAGTTTCTCTTAATGACAATACGACTACTAATATACTCGAATCATAAACTTAACTTTATTCATCAGAGTATGTGCCTTTTGGCCTGCCGTTGAAAACAATATTTTGAAAAATTATTTCATCTCCCTCTTTTCTTTTTCTCTTTTCGTTTACTTCTTCATTCAATGATATTATAACAATGCAGCATTTACAAAATGCAAGAATGTAAAATTCATCACCTATCGCTGGTTTTTGGTTTGTACCATTCTTTCATTGGGCTTGGATCGATTCATAGCACGGTTCTTTTTCGATCTAAAACACAGTTGGCATTAAATCTCGAATTTTGGATTGATTAAGAATTGAAATTATGGAAATCGAATGGAATGAGAAACACATATATATGAAACCTGTTTTCAAATTCCGTTGCTGAATCTCGACGTATACTGTTTTCAAATCCCGTTGCCGAATCTCGACATATTCTTCTATTACTCAAAAAATGAACGTAACAGATAACCAACAATTTTCTCCTAGATGAGAAACACTGTATATAGGCACATATCCCGGTTGCAACGAGGCTTTATCTATGCCAAGGGTTGACAATATCCTCTCGTAAGGGTACCTGTTGTGTCTCCATTGAGACATAAAGATGACTATCCAAAAATGTTCTATGATCTATCGCCCTCCATAACATAAAATTCAGAAGCAATATTCGAAATGAATTGAATATAATTCGTAAATAGGAATGAAAAACTTATCACCGGTCGCTGGTTCCTGGTCTGGTTTCCTCTTCTGTGAAATTTTTCCGTCGGTTAATATCACGTCGCTTCTTCGATCTAAAACATAGTTGGTATTTTATCTTGAATTCATAATATATTGAGAATTGAAATCATGCAAGTTACATGGAATAAGAAACTGATATATTGATGAAAACTCGAATTCCGTTGCTGAAACGCGACATATTCTCCTGATGCTCAAAAATGAGCGGAACAGATAGCCAACAATTTTCTCCTAAATGAGAAACACTGTATATACCTAACCCATCAGGCGCCTACCCCGGTTGCAACGAGGGTTTACCGATGCCAAGGGTTGATACTCTCCCCTCGTGAGGGTACCTGTCGTGTCACCATTGAGACTTAAAGGTGACTATCAAAAAATGTTCTATGATATATCGCCTTCCATAACAAATAATAAATTTGGAAGAAATATTCGATTGATTAAATAAAACTCCTGAATAGTAATGAAAAACTTATCACTGGTCGTTGGTTTCTGGTCTGGTTTCCTCTTTTGTGCAATTTTTCCATCGATTGATAACACGTTGCTTCCTTGATCTAAAACATAGTTGGTATCAATATCTCAAATTCAAAATATTTTGAGATTTGAACTTCCCTCTTTTGTGCAATTTTTTCGTCGATTAATAACACTTCGCTTCGTTGATCTAAAACATAGTTGGTATAAATATCTCGAATTCATAATATATATAGAGATTTGATGTCATGAAAGTTACATGGAATAAGAAACTGGGATAATGAGGAAAACTTTCTCAAATTCCGTTGCTGAAACGCGACATATTCTTCTATTACTCTAAAAATGAACGGAACAGATAGCCAACAATTTTTTTCTAAATGAAGAACACTGTATATACCTAAACCATGAGGCTCCTATATATATTGAAATTGGAAGAAATATATGAAATGAAATGAATTGATTGAAATTCGTGAATAGGAATGAGAAACTTATCGTTTGTGAAGTTTTTACATTTATCACGGGTCGTTGGTTTCTGGTCTAGTTTCCTCTTTTGTGCAATCTTTTCGTCGATTAATAACACATCGCTTCGCTGATCTAAAACATAGTTGGTATCAATATCTCGAATTCAAAATATATTGAGATTTGAACTTTCCTCTTTTGTGCAATTTTTCCGTCGATTAATAACACTTCGCTTCGTTGATCTAAAACGTACTTGGTATTAATATCTCGAATTTAAAATATATCATGATTTGAAATCATGCAAGTTACATGGAATAAGAAACTGAAATATTGATGAAAACTTTTTCAAATTCCGTTGCTGAAACGCGACATATTCTTCTACTGCTCATAAAATGAGCGGAACAGATAGCCAACAATTTTCTCCTAAATGAGAAACACTGTATATACCTAACCCATCAGGCGCCTACCCCGGTTGCAACGAGGGTTTACCGATGCCAAGGGTTGATACTCTCCCCTCGTAAGGGTACCTGTCGTGTCACCATTGAGACTTAAAGGTGACTATCAAAAAATGTTCTATGATATATCGCCTCCCATAACAAATTATAAATTTGGAAGAAATATTCGAAATGGATTGAATAAAACTCCTAAATAGTAATGAAAAACTTATCACTGGTCGTTGGTTTCTGGTCTGGTTTCCTCTTTTGTGCAATTTTTCCATCGATTGATAACACGTCGCTTCGTTGATCTAAAACATAGTTTATCAATATCTCAAATTCAAAATATTTTGAGATTTGAACTTCCCTCTTTTGTGCAATTTTTTCGTCGATTAATAACACTTCGCTTCGTTGATCTGAAACGTAGTTGGTATCAATATCTCGAATTCATAATATATATAGAGATTTGATGTCATGAAAGTTACATGGAATAAGAGACTGGGATATTAAGGAAAACTTTCTCAAATTCCGTTGCTGAAACGCGACATATTCTTCTTTTACTCTAAAAATTAACGGAACAGATAGCCAACAATTTTTTCCTAAATGAGGAACACTGTATATACCTAAACCATCAGGCTCCTATATATATTGAATTTGGAAGAAATATATGAAATGAAATGAATTGATTGAAATTCGTGAATAGGAATGAGAAACTTATCGTTTGTGAAGTTTTTACATTTATCACGGGTCGTTGGTTTCTGGTCTAGTTTCTTCTTTGGGGCAATCTTTTCGTCGATTAATAACACATCGCTTCGCTGATCTAAAACATAGTTGGTATCAATATCTCGATTTAAAAATATATTGAGATTTGAACTTTCCTCTTTTGTGTAATTTTTCCGTCGATTAATAACACTTCGCTTCGTTGATCTAAAACGTACTTGGTATTAATATCTCGAATTTAAAATATATCATGATTTGAAATCATGCAAGTTACATGGAATAAGAAACTGAAATATTGATGAAAACTTTTTCAAATTCCGTTGCTGAAACGCGACATATTCTTCTACTGCTCATAAAATGAGCGGAACAGATAGCCAACAATTTTCTCCTAAATGAGAAACACTGTATATACCTAACCCATCAGGCGCCTACCCCGGTTGCAACGAGGGTTTACCGATGCCAAGGGTTGATACTCTCCCCTCGTGAGGGTACCTGTCGTGTCACCATTGAGACTTAAAGGTGACTATCAAAAAATGTTCTATGATATATCGCCTTCCATAACAAATAATAAATTTGGAAGAAATATTCGAAATGGATTGAATAAAACTCCTAAATAGTAATGAAAAACTTATCACTGGTCGTTGGTTTCTGGTCTGATGGTTTCCTCTTTTGTGCAATTTTTCCATCGATTGATAACACGTAGCTTCGTTGATCTAAAACATAGTTGGTATCAATATCTCAAATTCAAAATATTTTGAGATTTGAACTTCCCTCTTTTGTGCAATTTTTTCGTCGAATAATAACACTTCGCTTCGTTGATCTAAAACGTACTCGGTATTAATATCTCGAATTTAAAATATATCATGATTTGAAATCATGCAAGTTACATGGAATAAGAAACTGAAATATTGATGAAAACTTTTTCAAATTCCGTTGCTGAAACGCGACATATTCTTCTACTGCTCATAAAATGAGCGGAACAGATAGCCAACAATTTTCTCCTAAATGAGAAACACTGTATATACCTAACCCATCAGGCGCCTACCCCGGTTGCAACGAGGGTTTACCGATGCCAAGGGTTGATACTCTCCCCTCGTAAGGGTACCTGTCGTGCTCCATTGAGACATAAAGGTGACCGAAAAATGTTCTATGATATATCGCCTTCCATAACAAAAAATATAAAATTTGGAAGAAATATTCGAATTGAATAGAATATAATTCGTGAATAGGTACGAAAAACTCATCACCGGTCGCTGGTTTCTGGTCTGGTTTCCTATTCTGTACTGTTGGAAAGAGAATTGAACGCCCTTTAAAGTAATGTGCATCTTGACCCCCTTTTCAACTGAAATACTTAGGGTAACATTCTCCCTTCCCATTCAAGATTCTTAGGGTAACATCTACCTTGTCCTAAGGGATAGAACCAAGAGGGCTAAAAATATCAATATAAGGTATTCCCTTTGAAAATAAAATTGACCTGTCTTTGATTTTTCATATTGTTTGGAAGAAAGATATACGAGGGTGGGAAATTTTCAAAATGCCATTCTGTATATTAAGTTCTATAATGATAATAATAAAAGTACTTTATCGAACAACAATGTTCAAATGTATATCAACAGAATTCCTTCTGCCAACAAATTCCATGAGAAATATAAATTTTGAAGAAATGTTCGAAATAAATTCAGGAAATGATACAATGAATATGAAAAGAAACATCATGATGAGATATGTCATGAAATGGGAATACGTAAAGAAACTCACCATTGTGAAGGATAATTTCTTCTCTCACCATGAATTACTTTTCGTGAACAGTGCTGTAACAAAAGAATAAAATTATTATCGATATATTTATACAAAACCGAGTACAAGACAATATGTCAGTATTTTTCAAACGTTGATATTTCGAAAACTATCGAATTTAGGAGTAAAGTGTATTGAATGAGATTGTTGAGAATTATGAGATTTCGAAAATGGAATAATATACGGGCTGTTCCATTTGAGCTCTCCGAATTTCGTTGATATATCGAGTGATTCAAGAAGTTGAAGGGGTGAATGACATTTAGACGGACATAGTATACGAGAATACAAAAGTATATGTATGATCAAGAAAGATGAATAAATTCATTATTATATATTATTATTATCTTAGATCAAAGTTGATCCTACTGTATACTTGAATAATGGCCACAAAAATACTGTAATTCAGAAAAATAATAGCTTTTCTATAACGAAACTAGTGTCAGTATGAATATCATTGAAATTAGTGTTCAGATGTCCGAAATGTAAACTGAAAATGAAATGCAGAAATACATTTTACTTATATTTTGAGTATTAGTATGACCAATATGGAATTATTCTTAATTTTTTAAATGCCATCAGATGTTTTTCCACCAATTGAATCGACCGTACAGAATGAAATCTAACATGCGACTGATGAATGGCTGGCCTGATTTCAGATACAGGGTGATCAGAATTCTGAATCTTGAAGCACCCTGTATTTTTTCCAATTACATTCCAGTAGATAGTAAATCAAAAGTAAAGATAGGGACATGTAAGCCGTTTTGATCGATAATGAATAGTTTCGACACAAAAAAATCCTAAATTTGAAAAATCTCGATTTTGAACACCCTATATCTCTGTAATCATTCCATTTGAAATAACAAAGTTGCTAGTTGTTTCTGATAGAAGTGGCAACACTCTATCGATGAAAATATTTTAGGTGTATAGAGAATGTTCAATTATCAAAGCATCCCAATTTTCAGAATGTTCTGTCTTTCTGTTCTCCAGATACTGCTAACAGGCCATCTACCGTGGATCACCCTGTATTGCTATTAGTGCCAAAGTATTATTTTTAACATTTTGAATTTCGATACGATTCCATTGAATTTCATGTGTTGTAGAATGATGTATCAAATTTCGAATAGTTTCGTATACCTATAAATAAGTCTGTACAAAATGGCGAATTTTTCTGCAACTTATTTCAATACCTTTCAGTTAGTACCTCTGCATAAGTTAACGAAGCGAATTGTTCCATCCTAAACAAAATCGCGAATATTTCCCCGACTAGTTACATTAATTTCCATATACATCCTATGTATAAATAGGTGAAGAAAGCGAATTTCAAAATTTTTCCATCGTTATATGGAAATATACCGATGCAAAATGCCTCCATATTATATTATACAAAAACACTTACCATCTACAATATAAAACTTTCACACACTCAAATGAAAATACAAAATACAATCACTAAGCCGAATATGAATTCAAATTTTCCACTCTCAAATACTTCTACTTCAGTTTTAATTATCACTTGAATCGACCGCACTCGATGAAGTCTAGAACGATACTGCTCATTTGTTTGATGCATCATTCAAATGACTAATCAGTTACGCCATCCTTTTAACCGATGAATTCTTGAACAAGTATGACTAATTCCGATATCGATAGTAGGTATACGACGTGGAGTGAAAATAAATGTAAGGATATTTTCTTTCATTTTCTTACCTATACGAGGTGTTTTGGAAATGAGTTCATAAATTCAGCAAATCAATTAGATATAGGCTAACGGATATTTTTAATTCTTCTCCGCGTGAATGTGCCTTCCGCACGGAAATTTGTACAGAGGTGTCGTTAGAATTGCTACAGTGTAGAAGTTTGGGTGGAAAAAGAGTCTCACCATGGTTTTCATTTGATCCCTATATTTTTTCTATGGGTGCTCTTCAATAGTATTCGTCGAAATTATTTAGGATTTGAAATATTTGTATTTATTTCAATATCACCTGTCACCTTGTATATTAGGCTGAGTTAGGTTAGATTTTCAATGTTTAATTCACGAATTAAATATTGTAAAGTTTCGGAGCATTGGCTGGGGATATTCCTGAAAAATTCGCTGTTGCGTTCCAAATACCAGTGCTGCTCGTAAAGTGGCGCATGAAGTTTGTAACAAAGCCTACACAGGACACATAGGAAGAAATGATGTGGTTGTGTGCATTAGAGGAGGAATAGGTTGGTGTATGTAGGTGGGTGTGAAAGAAAAACTACCAGCTGAGAGTGAGATCGAGCCAATGCTGCTTAGAGGGAGCTTTGACGAGGCTTCACGAGGTAGCTGGCAGGCCTGCAGCACGGTAGTGAGTACATTACTAGCCTACAAAACACAACCGGAAAACTCTGAAAGAGGGCTGATGTTGTACCTGAAAAGGTTGTTAGCCAGCTCTTTTAAGCGAACTAACATCACTCATTACAAACATTGGGGCTTGAAAAACGGTCCCATGAGAGACTAGTTGCTTACTTTCATACGTCCCCCACTCCTACCAGTACCTGTACCAGTGGGTTATTCTTTTTAGAAAAAGTCTCATTTTTTACGCTGAAAGGATATTTTTCTTCTGTATATACAGGATGATTCATTAGGAATGGGAAATCTTTGAACTACAGATAGTAAACACCAAAATAGTATGATTCAAACCAACATGCCTTTTAGAAATGTGCAGATACAGGGTATTCAAGGAAAGAATTTTTTTTAGCTTTGGTCGAACATTTACTTTGAAATTCTGTTTGTTTTTGGCGTAGTTCGTGATTTTCATCATTGATCACTGTCCGTTTCTCCACTTTCAGTCTGCTAACTTCATAATTTGGAATTATCAAAATGTTATGAGTGAATCATAAATCTGTTCAGGAGTGAATATCGCAAAAACCATTAGAGCTAGACATTTTAAAGAAGAGCACAATTTTTATGTAAAATTGAAACGACTTTCAGGTTTTTCACTCATTTTGATTATATTTCAATAGACAAAAAATATATGATGTAATTCACCAACTTAATTGATACCGCAGAGTGTCACTAGCGCCCTCTATGAGCAATCACAAAATAATTTTCGATTTCGTATTTCTCGTGTGAGAAAACCTGAAACTACAAAATTTCAATTTCATGATGTTGAAACATACAAAGTTATTGAGAAATTTAAAAATTAAATCTCCCGTCAAAACACCATAATATCTCCTAAACCAGCGAAATTCTTATCAGGTGTGTTAGACTAAATCTCAATATTTCAGTGTTTACTATCTGTAGTTCAGAGATTTCCCATTTTTCCAATTTTGATAATATAATAATAATAAAAACACCGAAGCAGACACAGATAAGAAATTTTTCTGAAAGGTTTCCTCAACCAATCAGATCAGGTCTTTTGAAAATGACGGTAAGCAACATTCTCATAACTTGGAGCTACTTAACTAGATTGATATGTAGTGTATAAACAGTAGATGACTTGTTGTCATAAGGATAGCAAATTTGATTGAAGACGTCAGGATTTGAAATTTCAAATCAAAATATTCGTACAAAACTAATTTTTCTCATCTCAATATCTTCAGATCCAGTTAACCTTATTTCCAATGTTGATTTGAAAAATACCTATGTGGTTTTCTTGTCAAGTACATACAAGCATATCTTCCTAAATATTGACGAATATTAAAGGTAAACAAAATGTGACAGATATATCATAAATAAAGATAAAAAACTATTTTAAAATAAATTCACTTCCATGTTCCATGTGATTCATAATCCTATAATCCTGATAGAAAGTATGTTATGCATAATCGTGTGTGTTAAGCTAACATTTTGTTTTTCAGTGGCCAAAAACTCGAATAAAGCCCTAGAAGCTTTAGCTGGACTAGCCAGCAATGAAGACTTCAAATCGGTAGCCTTGAAAAAATCCACTGGTCCCACCGGCTACCTACCATGGAAGGACCTAATGCTTTTGCAAGTCAAAGGCCGTCGGCAGATCCAAACTAGGCTAGTCGAACCTACAGCCAACAGTATTAACGAAGGCGACAACTATATCCTCATCACTCCTAGCGCCCTCTACATCTACAACGGAACTTATTCGAATGTTATCGAACAATCGAGAGCATTGGATGTAGCCAATCACATTCGTAAAACCGGCGATATGGGATGCAAGGTCGAGAAAATCCACAGTATCAATACGAAAACTTCATCTCCCAAACACACCGAACACTTTTGGAAGCTCCTCGGGTCAGAAGGCACTCCGGAAACAGTCGATGCAGGGCACCCAGACGAAGATGAGACTTATGAATCGAACATACTCCACACGAACATGATTTATACCTTGGAAGACGATGAGTTAGCCCCTTTCGAGAAATACTGGGGTTCAACCCTCAAAGTGGAAATGTTACAAGATACCAGCATAATCGTGTTTGATTTCGGTTCTGAGATGTACGTGTGGAGTGGCAAAAATGCTCCTCTCGATAAAAAAAGGCAAACAATGAAGCTAGCTAAGGAGATGTGGGAGGAAGGGTACAATTACTCGGAGTGCCAAATCTGCCCCCTGAACATATCTTCCATCCTCGGCGATAGAAAACAGAAGGATCTACCTTTGAAGGCATCGAAAAGGCCCAGTTGGGCTCTCTTTGCCAAAATAACCCAACATCGCGAGACTGTTTTGTTCAGAGAGAAATTCTTGGATTGGCCCGACTTTTCGAGAGTGATCAGAGTGAGAAGCGACGAAAATATAAGAGAAGTGAGCGGGTCGATTGACATCAAACCCTGCGATGTCGATGAGATGATAGCCGAAAAAGACCCCTATCCCGATCTGGTGGTGGAAACCACCCACTTGGGAAGGGGTGACAAATATTTTGACGAGGAAACCAGGCGGCTGTTTGAGTACGAAACCCTGGAAGTCAAAGGTAGAGTATTGTTTTTGAATCTTTTTTTGTTTGTTTATTGAAAATGTAACTTCCAGTTAGAATCAAGTTCGGGTATAAGGAGGTATAGTTGACAATAACACCCAACCACAACTTATTCTACAATAAGCATAAGAACCTCTCAGATAATATAATATTTGAATACAGTAAATTTAAAATGTTGTCAAATGATTTCCTATTGATGAACACAAATCAATTTGAATAGGACTCAAAAGTAGTATTTCGTCCAGAAATGATGATTTTTTGAAGTTTGTATTTGAATTTAATTGTATTTCTGCAATTTTTATATCTGGCAATTTGTTAAATTGGAATAGAGCATCTTTTTTGTCCTATAGAAGAATTAGCAATATCAAGATGAAATAAATCATGTTGTCTAGTTTAGTGACCATGAATTGACATTGTTACCTCTTGAAATAAAATTGGATTTCACTATTTCATTCATGATATTGTATGTAATTTTCGTATTCTCAATTTTTCACATTCCTTCTAATGAGAATGATTCTGTTATTCTATATAATTGATTTTTTATTGTATCATAGGGTAAACTATGCAGTAATGTTTCTTTATATAATGCAGATATTTGCAGATATTTCATTGAAATTGTGCTTTGAACAGTATCCAAAAACATTTATCGAATTGGTAATGCAACTGAGTTCATGAGAACATATTTCCAACTTCTTTATCGAGCTTGGGACATTTTCTCAGGGCTCCAATAATAGGAGATATTTTTTTCGTCAAAATATTCATATGTTTGTCTCACTTTAATTCATCATCAAACCAAATTCCAAGATACTTTTTCTTGTTAGTTTGTTTCAAAGATTCATTTTTAATTCCGAGATTTAAATTTATATTTTGTTTATTTTTTTGTTGAAAAATCATGTATTCAGTTTTATTAGTATTTATTGATAGAAGGTTTGAATGCATTCATTTTTTAAATAGCATCAAGTTTCTGTTTATTATATTTTCTAAAATGATAGGATTCTTATTTTCATATAAAAGCACCTATCGTCTGCATTAATTGTGAAATTACTTTCTGTTCCAATTTTGTTGATATTTTGAATATATAATAAATATAAGATTGGTCCTAAAACAGATCCTTGAGGGACACCTTTAGTCATCGGTAGTTTATGAGACTCTGAGTTAGTAGATTTGGTAGTGATTGTCCTATTTTGAAGATACGAATCTAAAAGGTTTCTTATCATACCTCTGAGTCCCATTGATTCAAAAAGTGTTATGTGGTCAATTGCAATATGGAAAGCTTTTTTGTGATAAACACAAATTTCTAACACTTAATTTCCGCTATCAAGTCCTTTTTGTATCGCTTGTATTACTTGAAATATTGCCGCTTGTGTGCCACTATTTCCTTGAAAACGAATTTGATTTATGCTAAAGCTATATTTTTCATTTATGAAATCTACAATGCGTTTTTTAAGAACCTGTTCAACAAATTTGGAAAAAATGCTCAATAATTGATCCATATGGATGATCATAAATGGCTACATGGCAAAAATGAAAGACTAATAGTTTCTTCACAAGTAGCTAAATGGAAAAAAAAACTGTGTTTCTATCTGTTTTCTCAATATCGTGAGTTAATTTCGGATGATATTTTTAAACTCAATGAAATTATTGGCAATCTTATGGGACCGATTAGGGTATGGAAAATATTCTGATAATATCGTCGCAGTAATGATCTTTGGATTTCTAGCCTATCAAGCATCGAAATGTCATTGTATTCCGGTCACATCCAACTTCATGTATTTCAATAAAATGCAATTTAACAGCCAATAGAACAGATATCAAATTGTGATACATAGTTGAATAGAGAATTTTGAGGCGAATCAGATAGATACAATCCAGATAGAATCAGATAGGCTACAGAAGTATACATGGTGCCATTCGAAAAAAAAAGTTGGGTATACTTCCGATCAAACAGGTGGTTGAAGAAAATTGTTATTGAGTTCAAGGGAAGCACCATCATCGATATTATAACCCTTGTGAATTTCAAATTTTTATCTCTTCAAATAAAAAAATTACAGGGCCCTTACATGTCTGCTGTGTCACCCCGTATATCCATTTTTATGTTAATGATTTTATCTGAGAATATTCCTTTTCGACATGTTTCAAAAGGCTGGCACATATCCGAGAACTCCTACGAAGCGCTCGACGACAAGTCGATCGGCCAGTTCTACGACGGCGACAGCTACATCTACTGCTGGAATTTCCGGCAGACCGTGAGAGGGCGCGAGCTGAACGGCACCCCGTCCAGACACGCGGCCGTCGGAAGGGACAGGTGCATCTTCTTCTGTTGGCAGGGTTGCCGTTCCTCGATCAATGAGAAGGGCACCGCGGCGCTGCTGACGGTCGAACTGGACAAGCAGAATGCGCCGCAGGTGCGGGTTGCTCAGGGATCCGAACCCGCCGCGTTTCTGCGACTGTTCGACGGCAGCATGGTGGTGCGCCAAGGGAAACGCGGGGAGAGTGAGGAGTTTGAGAAACCGATGCTGTTTATAGCGAGAGGCGAGAAAGAGGATGAGACTTATCTGATGGAGGTAATAATAATAATATCAGGTGACACAGGCTCATGGTATTCCCCCTTTTTCTCCTTTGTTTTTCTAGCAATATTTCTGAAATTTGGACCATCAAACATGTTCACTAGAGGGCACTTTCTCACATTTTAGTTTGTTTTTTTTTCATCTGGTTTTCCTGGACCGTTGATGTCACTAACTTTCGTTTTCCGAATGGAACACACCCTATATTTTATTCCATAATTGGTTAGATTATTATAAGGAATTCAACGGTACCGGGTTTGATTGGGTCATTTCAAACGATTATGAAGATATTTGTGTTCGAAGATTCTATATGACCAATGAGGGTAATATAGCGTACGCGCCACTATTGTAATTTTACAGGAGAGCAGAAATAGTGTACCATTTCAGTATATCTAAGATATTTCGAGATTTTCAGAGTTATTATCACGATATTTCATTTATAGGTTATATGAACTGATATTTCATTGACTTGTATTTTAAAAGAGGATATTTTTCATCATTGTGCGAATATCTATGCATACGCCTTTATGATATATTTTTATATATTCTGATGATAATGTGTAAGAAAGATGCGTCTGAAATCATTCTTTATTGATTCTCGTTTTCATAACCAACGAAATTAACAATTATAATAATATCACTTGTAACAGATAGTAACAAAATAAAACATAAACCTTACTGGAACAATACTGAAAAATGTTCCTTATTGAGAAAATGAAAGAATACGAGAATGGGCGTGTACACCTCAGTAAAACTTTTAACTCAAACCATGTTCATAATGATCCTTTTATGCATAAATAATGATTGACGACATAATTCGATCGAAAAATTAACTGGAATGTTTTACTTTTGGACATAAATAATAGTACCTTCTACAAACGGACCCTCTTATGACGTACAAACCTCATCTCGCCATAGTTAAAAGAAAATACCAAACGCCTGACGGAGACTGAGGGAACTGATGTATTAATTCTTTCAACTGTGATCTCGCGCTAATTCACTCTGTCAGAAATCATGTATCATTCATTTCTGTCTGGAATAGTCTTGTTTCAGTATTAGGGTTTTGACGTCACATCATCGCCTCGTTTTCAGAGGTCTGAAAAATCGGGGATTTCAATAATTTTTTATAAAACGTAGGGAGCTCACAGCAAGAAACGGTTTGCTGTGGTGAGCTAGTTTGAGTGAGTTCTATCGAATTATGAAATGAAATTTTTTGTGATATAAGCCCATTGTATATCAACTTGGAACAGAATAATCTAAATCCTTTTTCTTTTTCGCATTTTCTCCCTCATCCCAGCTGCATGTGAAATGGTTTGTACACTCTTTCAATCACATCCTTTTGGCATAAATCGTTCAGGTCTTTATATTTTTTTACTAATAAATAGGCAAACTACTTCTGTAGGCATGGTAGTCGCTCAAATCCATGGAAAATTCGGGATTTAAGGGTCTTCTTTTTTTGGTCGATACATATTCACTATCGACAACTAAATTTTTTAGAGTTGTGTACACCAAGGCAGATTCTCTACGTTCACTTGCAGTCAATGAGTACTCGTACCATTCTGATTTCCCGCCTGTATTCGCATGATCACAATCACTAACTACTGACACTGATATGTGAATCACAGTAGTGGACTCATCTAGGTCGATATTATTGAATAATTCTTGCACAACCCCTGGTTGAGAAATGAGTAAATCGAAGGAATCTTCATCAAATTCGATTGTTTGTTTATGTTTTTATAATTTGAGGTTATAAAATCTAACACTCGACATGCTTGAACACGACTGAACTGATAATCATAAGGACGTAAAACGCATTAGAGAAGCGGATATCAACATATTATGTCCTTATGATTTTGAATGTTGTTAGACTTTTGGTATGATCTGACCCAGAAATTCAAAAAATGGTGTATACGACTTCAAAATATCGGCATTTTCAGTTGATCTGATATGTCAATCTGATAATGTCATTCCTACCAGTTTTGTGAATGACTTATGATAAAAATCTCAATTTCATCAAAATTGGCTCATACGCCCCTCTGATTTATTACCCTCGACATGGAATATGGTCCAGAAAAATAAATCGAGTTTCTAGTGCATTTGTTTAACCTCGAATTCTGGCTCATTTTAAATATAAATGGTTCAATCCAATTTTCGGTAAAAATAATATAACTGGAAAAGTTTTGAAACTGTGAAATATAAACCTAAAATTGGTCAAAAATCTTTTGTATACTTCTTAAATTAGTGTGATATTTTGAAAATTCTTTTTTATCGATACCGAAATATAAATCATAAAATTCATTTGTGTTCCCAAGTCCTTTGGTGTGAATGTGCTAAACTTCAAAATCTCTGACCAACTGATCCATTACAAAATGTTGATTGATTTTTTGACTGAAGAGTATTCAGAGAGAGACGAAAATCCTTAAACAACTACACACAATCCTTTTATGTATAATTATTAGTGAAATAAATTAACATTATAGGTGCCTTTAGGAATGAGCTCTTTGAGAAGCAGGTCTTCGTTCATCATCGTCGATATCGACACTGAGCAAGTCACTATTTGGCACGGAGCCAAGTCCAGCCAGCAAAAGAGGAAAGTTGTAAGAGAAGCTGTTCGGAAACTGATGGTCAACAAACCCGCAGAAATGTACCTGGATGACTTTGAGGAGGATTTGGATATCGTGGTGATGGAGGAGGGTAGTGAGAGCGAGGACTTTTTCGATGTTATGGGCAATAACAGGGCGAGTTACAATTCGTTGTTGAATTGTGAGAAGGAGTACGTGCACACACCGAGGTTGTTCAGGATGAGCAGTGTGACGGGGAGTTTCCTGGCTACCGAGGTGTTGTGTCCGCATAGGAGTGAGCATTCTAGTCCTTATCCGTTTAATCAGACGGACTTGTATTCTGCTAGTCAACCTGGTAAGTCTATTCTCAATATATAAAATTAATCTTCTGAAGTAGTTCATTCTCAAAGTGGAGTGGGATGGTATCATAGAGACGACTTTGGGTTTTTCTCTATGATATAAAATTAAGATACATGGATCCAACTAGGGTCCCTTGATGTAAATTGACGTATTTGTCATCTTAACAGGGTACAGACAGATCATAGCTCCTTTCTCTTTTAATGTCTAGTGACTTTGGTTTTGTGTATTGGCGTTCCTGACATGACATTGCTGTCACGTTATATCCATAGGCGTTAAAATAAATCTTACAAAATTTTAATTAGTACTCAATCTTAATACGACATTATTCAATTTTGTTTTGGAAGGATGGTAAGATGTGCTGCGTTAGGCAATCAGTTGGTTGGCAAATTTGAAATTGTCTGTTTTCCAACAGATGCAAAGAACTGAAAACCAGTGGCGGCTCGTGACTTTCATGACAGAGGAGGCTGAATGTTATGAGATTTATTGTGAAAAACAACTCTCTACTCACCCAAATCAATAGCTTTAATGACTTTCTGTTTACTAGTTAACCTGAACTTAATACTTGAAGAGATGTGTTCCTGTGATTTGCAGTGTCGATCCAATCCGCGAGGCAAATTTCTCAAATCATTATATCCTAATCGCACCCAACATGATGACTTGAAAATAATACGCAGTACCAACAAAATAGCTTATTCCTTACCTCATCCCGTCAACCAGATATATTTTTTATAATTATCAGAATTGAACGAACGATTTTGTTTGTTACCTGTTACAATCAGATTTTTTTAATTCCGGTGTCAGACGTTTATTTTTCACAATCAATTTATCTTCATAAGACGAAGCACTGAATGGGTTCACCAAAAAGTATTCCACTAAATCGCAATCGTTTAAAACACTCATTTCTCAGAAATTCATAGAGCCCCTAACCATTAACCTAACATAAACATAAACAATGCACTCGCGTTTGTCCGCAATTCGCGAAGCGACACGACAAACACGTGCTATTCGGGCGTATTCGGGCATTTCCATTGCGCGCGTAGGTTGCGATTTGTGAAGGAGTCTAGCCTCCTATAGATGTTGCCAATTTGAATATTTTGCGCGTGATTTGCAGACTTCAACGTGTGATGCGTGGGCAAGCACTGTTGCCAATTCGAAAATATTCAACTGAAAACAGGAAATGAAATCAAAATCCATGTATTTTGGTGTCCTTTCAATGGGAAAGTATTGATAATATTAGTTTAAGGAAAATCTCTGAGGAGGCTCAGCCTCCGTTGCCTCCTCTGAGGAGCCGCCACTGCTTAAAACATGGAAAGTGAAGAGACCAATACATATACGAATAAATCAGCGAGGTAGAACTAGGAAATAATATGTTATACTTTTTCATTGTGCCTAATCATCCACACCACAAGTTTTCGAATGCATTTTAGTAGAAAGAGTTTTGATTTAAACAGAGGATTAAAAGGAGAGGCATATGCCCTACCATTTAAAAAATTATACCATCATTCAGCAAATATAAATGTTCGAAAAAAACTGCAAAAATGATATACCCAGCATGAATATATAAATAAACAGCACACATGACATATGAGCACATTAGTTTGAATACCTACATCAGAGTTTTCACCAGTAGAACAGTCCCATTTGGTAAAACATATTAAACTTCCAGAAAAATTTATGCTCACTGCCTCACAAAAATTATGCTGGAGTTGAAAAATCAAAAACTCAAAAATAATCGATCATCATTTGGATATAATATGTAGAGTTGAATCAGGAATGCCATGTGAAAATTACATATGATACGTCAATGTCCTCAATATAACCTAAAAAACAACCAAATCTAGTGTTTATCTCCTGAATTGAATAAAGATACAACTATATAACTGTTTTATCATCAAGTGACCCTAGACCCAACCAGTTCACAATATGATGTTTGTTTTGAATTTTTGAATTCTATGAAATATAACAAATTTTCAATTCGTCTAACTCACCCATGGGGCCTTTGTATATCCCGTTCACATCATAATTTCACAATTGCATTGGAATGCGAAAGACGTTCTCCATATTCTCAAATAGGTATGACATACACAGGGTGTCCCGAAAATACATAGAAAGATTTTGACTGCAGATGAAATGGTCAGAAATGGTTCCAGGGGGTTGAAGCCATCTAAAGGTGAGCTCGAGATGGAGTTTTTCTGTGAACATTCTCGAAATCCTTTATTTATTTATCCATTCATTTATTTATCTATTTAAAGTCTCACAAAACACCGTAGAGTAATGAAAATGTAAGACATTTCAAAAATAATTCAAATCTAGCACAAGTATTAAAATATTGAAGAATAAAAGAATCACAGGTTCAATGTAAATGTAACGGCGAGTCTATCGAAACATGAGTAGCATTTTCTAGTAAAAATGTTGAGTTTCATATTCCTTGGTCAAACTGCAAAAAACGTTCATCTCATGCTTGGCTATAACACAATAAGTAGCCATTTCTGGACCCATGTTGATGCGAACTTTCATGTTATTGTTGCTCCTAGAATCTGCAGTTGAAATTTCTCATGACATTCCAGAACACCTTAAATATGAAAGCACCACTAACATCACTTCTTCACAGCTTTGTTCTTGATCGACGACAAGCACGACCTGTGGCTGTGGCAGGGCTTCTGGCCGGAAAAAGAGGCGGAGGCGGAAGACCTGAGCGACCAGACGGGCTCCGGGGCGGTCCGGTGGCAGGCGGAGCGAAGGGCGGCCATGCGCACCGCCGTCGACTATTGGCGGCGCACGCGCGACGGGGGCGCGGTCTCGGCGCACCTGGTGTGGGCGGGGCTGGAACCGCTGGCGTTCAAGGGGCTGTTTCCGTGCTGGGAGGAGCGGGAGGAGGTGAAGAGGCTGAATTTGAAGGTGGGTATGGTCAGAGTTCATTTGTCTATAGATGAATCAAAAACTCTTTTGAATAATATCAACATGTCCTATTTATTGATTGATTGATTGTCTTTATTACCCCAAGAAACATAGTTGTTCATAATAGGGATACATAAACAATATACATAATCTTATACATACAATTATGAAATTATAATAAGGTATAACAAGTAAAATTGAAAAAAAAAATGCAAATAATCATGCAATATCAACCTTGTCTTTTATAAGTAGGTATTCAAATAAGAAATGGAATTATCAAAGTCTCTGAAGCAGATATTTTTTCAATTTAATTTAGAATCTAGTTGCTTCCTGTATATTCCTCAATTGACTTGGTAATGAGTTGTATAGAACGATTCCTGTGTGAAAAATGGATTGTTTGCCGATATTTGACTTGAACGTATTTGCTATTAGTAAATTTGATTGTCTTGTTCATTTTGGTCCTTCGCCAAAGCTGTAGGAAGAAACTTCACTTCCAGCTCGTTTCCTCCTTTAACCAAGGAAGATGGAACATTAGCCACAACTGCCCAGGAGAAAGCCAACATTTTTGCGCATTTATTTGCTGGAAATTCCACTCTGGGTTCATCGGGAAAACAACCTCCAAACATAACGCCAATTGACAGTCATATGCCCGAGATCACCTTATGCCAGCGTATTATAGGGAAGATTTTATTGGGTCTCAACATTAACAAAGCTTATGGCTCCGACGGAATCCCACTTATTGTTCTCAAGAAATGTGCTCCCGAACTAACACCTGTTCTCTGCAAGTTGTTCAACTACTCTTACAAATTGGGGATATTCCCGTCCAACTGGAAAATTGCAAGAGTACAACCAGTTCCTAAAAAAGGCGAAAAAGACCCTACCTAGCAACTACAGACCGATCGCACAGCTATCTATTATTTCAAAGATCGTGGAGAAAGCTATCAACATCGAGCTCATGAAATACCTTTTAGGTATTATCAACGATAGGCAATATGGCTTCCGTCATCAGAGATCAACTGGTGACCTGCTCTTCATGCAGTGGTCGACGGAGTTTCATTCGACTCTATCATAAATACTGGTGTTCCGCAAGGATCAATTCTAGCACCCACGCTATTTCTACTCCATATCAACGATTTGTTGGAAGCAACTTCATGTCCAGTACACAGCTTCACGGATGATAGTACCCTCCATACCGCCTTCTCTTCCAGGGCTCCAATACCAGCCAGGCAAATCAGAAACGAACGAGGGAGAAATGTTGACATCATAAATATATGGACTTGGCACCAATTCTCGAATGGGGATCCAATGACTTGGTAAATTTCAATGCAAACAAAAGCATACCTTTTCTCTACGGAAGCCGATCTCACTGTGCCAAACATAAACATGTCAGGCCTAACCATACCTTTGAAGACATCCATTTCGATGCTTGGTATTACTATCAGCAATAACCTTTCTTGGGAAAATCACGTGAGATCAATCGCAAAAAGTGCATCCCAAAAACTTGGTTTTCTGTTTCGGGCCAGGAGCTATTCCACTTCCAGTCAGCTGCTTATGATCTATAAGGCACAGATCCGACCTGTCCTGGAATATTGTTCTCATATTTGTAGTGCAAAACATTAGAACAGGTCTTTCCAATGGTCAGCTCAAGTAGGGTTCTAGAGAAAAAAATCAAGAAATGCAAAACTTTCGAAAAAAAAAAAGAAATTTTGTTCCAATGGCCAACTAAGGAGGAATCACGAAAACATCTCGAGATGAGCTCCCAGTGTATCATATCATGACTGACTTTTGATCAGAAAAAAAACTCGAGTTCTGGCAGCATTGGATATGTAGACCATAGTGTAATCATTCCACTTCACACCCTGTTTAAGTTTTGTTCTGCGGACTTTTTCAGAGTGTTCTAGCTCTCTTTGAAGTCGATGAAATATCACATCTGATATCGAAAACCGCATGAAGATCGGTCAATTTAAAAAAAAAATACAGGTCTTCGATATAGAGTCAAATTATGAGTGGTCCATTTAGTGTGTTGCGAACTGTATATCGCACTTCAAATTACTGAGGTACCGAATTCAAAATAAAATGGCTCGAATTTGATACAAGCTCCATTCCAATTTCCAGGAAGGAAAGAAGATGGGCGACATGTTACCCCTAGAGAGGGAGCTGGCTCTCTTGTCTAGGACGATCTATCCGCTGTCCGAACTGCTCCAAAGGCCCCTACCCGAAGGTGTCGACCCGACGAACATTGAAAGGTACCTTTCCAATGCAGATTTTCGGGAACTCTTGTCGATGACCAAAGACGAGTTCGAGAAACTGCCGTCGTGGAAGAAGACGGCCTTGAAGAAGGAGAAGGGTCTTTTTTGACCGCTGTTAGGTGTGTTGGTCGAGAAACTGGACTATTATTTCGGCAGGTGCTTCGATGTCTCTAAGTATATCGATTTTATCTAATACTTGTGATTTTTGTAGTTATTCGTATTTTATCTTGTGGACAAAATTTGTTGATTTCGTGTTATATTTTCGGCGTAACTGAACGGCTTTCGGTATTTAGTATCGCGGCCATATGTTATAATTATTCATAATGAATATTCTAAATCAAAGCTGAATGATCATTTAGGTACAGCGTGTTTTGTATAAAACTTTTCGATGAACATTTTTTAAAATCCTATTTTATTGAGAATTGTATGTTTTTTGTTGCGTCCATCTCATTTGGAATAAAAACTGCCATTTAACCGTAGCGTCATTTTAGGAGAAATAACTAATAGAAGTACTTAAAATTTACGTCATTTAACATACTGAAAGGTCTTAGAACAACACAAGTGACTAAAATTTAAAAATATCATTCGATTCCATTGCCATTGAAGTAAATCAAAATAAAACTTCATCAAACATGATACTGCATATCAATTTCGCAAATGAAGTTCGGAAATAACTTTCTATGAAATTTTTGTTAAACGGCAACACTGTCTGATTATCGAGTTTGACATACACATTTTAAGAGTTATTTGGGGAGGGGGGAGTCGCAGTAAGTGAATTTTACCAACTTATTTTGAAATTTTATAAATTTGGTCACCCTAGGTGGATTATTAAAAAGAACGTTTTTCTAAAACTCATTCAATTTGACACTGAAAAATTTTAGAACATAACATGAAATAAAATATATTTGAATAGATATTCAAACCAATAAAATCAATTGAACTGTCACTTAGTAGTCCGATCTTGCAAAATCTTGTGTTGCTCATATCACGTGACCGGCAGACAAGGTGCGAGGTGGACAAGTTTCACAATACAACAAATTGTGCGGAAGCGATGAATCGAAGTATTATCGATAAAAAACTTGCTGATTTGGCTGATTTGGTCGATTTGGTGAAAAGTACGACGCGATGATATTTGCTCATCAGTAGGAAATTTTCGAAATTCCGAGTTTGAACTGGGAATACTGGGAAACCTGAAATGTCGTTTATCTATGAGCTACGAGTCGGAAATTCAGAGTACGCATTTGGAAATTCTGGATGTGTACAGAATATTTCATTTTCAGATTAGAAACCAGTAACTGGGAATTTCATTTTCAGAATGCAAACTTGATATTTCCAACTCAAAATTAGATTTTTTCTACTTCAAGCTTTGAATTCCCTACTCATCAGTCGGAAAGTTCGAGTTTACAGTTGGGAGTTGGTAGTTTGAACTGGAAATGTAATTTGAACTTGAAAATTCTGACTACAACATCAACATTTTTAGTTATTAAAGTTGGAAAGTAACAGTTTGAAGTAGGAGAGTCAGAAAAAAACCAGATATTTACCATGAAACGTTGTTTTGTGAAACTTTCCCAAACTCCAATTTGCCAGCTCGTCTAAGAATGGAGGTAGACCCCGTCCTCTTCGCATGGGCCCATGTGACAACAACAGATTACAATCAATTCAATGACAATTCATGAAATTAATATCCACCACAGAAATCTTTCCCCCCTTATAGAATGAAATCTCGCTCAGTTTCAGAAGCCGAACTGATTTGACAGTCAGCAAACCTAGCAATAATTTCGAAATATAATCAGGTATAGTCAATCTGTATCTCTAGACTGCTATAAGTCATAATATGTCAAAATTCTCAGAATCTCATCCGAACGGGTTGCGTGCAAGAACTGTCAGATGACCGATCCTGGAAGTGAAACATTGAAACACAACCTCACTTATTTGTTTACAAATGATTGAAATAGTTTTTCACAATAATTATTTTAGCATACGAATCGTGTTTTTCGCCTATTCATTAATTTGCGCATGCCATCACATTGTACTGTTGTACAATGCACAAAAATGCAGCGGGAGACGAAGGAATCCAGTAGGTACATTATAATTTGAAAGTAAGTACCTATTGTAGTCACTCACATATAGTTTTCATTTTGAAATTTGGTAATTTCTGATTTTTCATCGGAATTCCTTCTGAAAAGGAAGCTTATAGAAATACTCCAGAAATGTCTAAAAGAATGCAAGATGATTGGATTCATGCAATCAAACGGGAGGACTGGTCTGACATGCTGATGAAATATGATCGTGTGTGTTGTAGACATTTTCAATCTTTAGCAGTATCACCTTCTATTGCAGAAGTGTGAAAAGTCATATTCCTTCGTCTCTCGATGCATCTTTTGTGCATTGTACAACAGCACAATGAGAATGGCATACTTGGATTAATGAATAGCGCAAAAAACACGATTTGCGATTCGTATGCCAAAATGTTGTGAAAATTATTTCAATCCTTTGATTCCTCTATAAACTAATGAGAAAAAAGTGAGGTTGTGTCTCAATGTTTTACAGAAAAGTGATTACCTCCAGGGTCGGTCATCGTGCACGCTACCTATTACTAGTCTTCTGTCGTTATTCGCGGGAATCAATGTCACCAGGTGGCGCTCGGTTTTCATCGTTCCATGTCAAAGCCACGTCAAAACTGGGGGAAAACAAACTCAATCCTCTCTCAATCCTATTAGTGCCATTAGCTTGTGCACTGTGTACTGATAAGAGTGATAACACTTTATGTCATTGACAAGTTTGACAACTACAGCTACAGCAAAATGTATGCAATGTAGTCTATGCACTTTATCCATAGACAATAGTTTGTTTTCCCCCAGTTTGAAGTTCGTATTATGTAACTTAGATGTCGCCCACTTCGTGAATCTCGCGAATTGACATCGACTTATGTCAGTGGTGTTCGGAAACGTGAGTGAGAGTGAGGTAGGTACACTCGTCTTCAGTGAACATGTCGCCGTTGGACGGTATGAGCGCTCCTACAGCAGCGGTGATTAAGAGAGCTGACACCGTCCATGTGCGACATGTTCTCTGAAGACGACTGTACATAACATGTCCTAAATACGCATGGTCCATGGGATCCAGCTGGATCTCATTGATGGATGAGCATTTATCTTGGATTAGAGGTCTAGATAGATGAAACAGTTAACAAACAGTTGCGGTCGGCCATTACAGAGTTGATACGATGGGATCAATGAGTAAATATTCTGTTTGGTATACACCTCACAAATTTATTGAAAACTTACCATATATGGTGTTGCCAAATTTAGTTGGGTTCCTAGTATTCGGCTTGCTCGTGAAGTCAGCTGGGTGGGTAACAGTGTTGCCATTCGATATCCGATAGTTCTTATTTTACAATCCTCTTCACATGGCGATGAAATGTGAGTACAGTATTCTTGTGTGATCTGAAAGAAAGCTTCATTCCTCTATCATGAAATTTCCGAAATATTTTCAATAATAGAAGGCATTCATGCTTTTTTTTTTGATTTTACAAGAATCTGTACGCATGTTTCTAATTGATATTGGAGAAAAATTGAAACTACATTCTTCAGAGTTCCATGATTATGTGGAGGAGACCAAGTTAGTATTTACAATGGAAAATCGGATTATTTGCTAATTATCTTGATTTATTCCAAATCATTAATGAATTGTGACAAATAGTGTGGCAATGAAAAATCCAATGGCGAAGACCACTGAGGAAAGAAATCCGTGCAAACCTCTTTCAATCGACGAATCATAATTTACGTGTGATCTACAATCAATATTATGAGTTGAAGTTGAAGGGAATCGAATCTATATCGTTTTGAAATTAGCATATTTCATTCGTTATTTCGAAAAGCCAAATATGATGGTGGAGCTGTGACGTATTAGTCCCGCACTGTAGCAATCTCTCTCTGATACCTCGTTATTCTGCAGTGTTGCAGTGTGATTGGTGAGTTCAAGGACAATAGGCGTGTTGGGACTAAGACGTCGCACCAGTCTCACCAATGAATTGACAAAAATTCAAATGGCGCAGGAAATGTGTGTTTAGAAATGGACATATTCTAATTTATTTCATTCATCTTCTTAGCATGAATGAAAAAATTCAAAATTAATTCGCTGGTAGTTTTTCAGTATAGAGTTCACAATAATGTCGTTTCAAAAAATCAGTGGTCTCCCCCATTCCCGTTATTCGATTTTGATGGAGATGCGTTATTCTAATGATATATCTGTGATTAGGCTTTGTATTTATGTTGATAAATTGTATAATGCCCCAACTATGTATATAATGAAGGTGCCTTGTAACTTTTGGAATTGAGAGATCTCGTTGTCGAGATACTGAACAGTTCTAGTCTTGTGATCCTCACGGCACTGATTTTTATTTTTCCTATGAAATCTTGTCTTTTGAATTTTTTATTTATTTATACTATCACCATAGTTATTGAATGCCTTACCGACATTTTTGGATAGTTTTTTTAGATGAATGTGGAAATTTTTGTGTGAACTCGATCTATGGGTATGTAAAATGTTTTAAGGCTTTTCTATCTACTAAACATATAAGATCATACGTTTGTAATTATATTGTTGTGTATCCTCAGTGTTTTTGTATATAACTTTTCGATTAATAAATATTTTCAGAAACAATTTTTTTTTCATTGAATGAATTGAGAATTCTGTGGAAGTAAAAACAAGAATATTATTGAAACAAGGAATACAGCACATTTGAATAATACAGTTGGCATATTCTAGGAATTTTTGGTCATACCTATAATCCAAAAACAATTTTCGTCTTTGTATAATACAGGTTTGTTCAATAGATTTAATTCAATGCTCGTCGTGACATATATTGCCTGGAAAGTATTCGTTTTCTGTTGAATATACCAAGAAAGAATTGATATTTTCATCACATAGAGAATGCGAATTCTTCATATACTTATTTCATTATACACTGTCCATAAAGTCACCCCCCCCCCCTGGTTAATTATTGAATGGATGGGATTTTTTGTTTAAATTTTTTTTTGCTTCAATGGTAGTTTCAGTGCTACATATTGTTCCAAAAAAAAAATATGTATCCTCCAAAATTATATCCCTATAAGCTGAAAATGGTTCACGAACTTTCTGAAGACGATCCTGATCGCAGAATTCAGTTCTGTGATTTCATGACTGAAAGACTTCAGCAAAATAGAATTGATGTGAGCAATATTTGCTTCAGTGATGAAAGTATTTTTTTTCTGAATGGACATGTCGATAGACATAATCACCGTTATTGGAGCAGTGAAAATCCTCATGAGTTTAGGGAAACTCATACTCAGCGCATCCTAAAAGTTAACGTTTGGGCTGGCATATTTGGCAGTCGTGTAATAGGCCCATTATTTTTACATGAAAATCTGAAAGGAGTTCGATACCTGAGGATGCTGCTAGAAGATATTTATCCAGAGATACTAGAGGTCGCTGGAAATAATATGCAGAATATTTTCATTTCTATGGGCCAGTAACAGCATTTCTTAATGAAAATTTTCCTGAAAGATGGATCGGTAGGAGGGGTTCTATTGAATGGCCAGCTCGCTCACCTGATTTGACCCCTTCAGATTTTTTTATGGGGTTATCTCAAATCTCAAGTGTACAGAACACCACCAGTAACGATAGATGAATTGGAGCAACGCATAACAGATGCATGTAGAAATATTACGCCTGAAATATTTGGAAATGTAAGACGTGAATTCAAAAATCACCTCTTCATGTGTCAAGAAGTGAATGGTGGGCATATCGAACATTTGATTTGATTTTTATTTATTCACGTGGAATAAACATTGTTCTTTATTTTGAATAAATATTTCTAAAATTTTGCAGAATTTGGAAAGACAATCGAGCAAAGGTAATAATAATAATTGACTACCATGTTATTCTCTTCAAAATGGCATCCTATTTGATATCTTCATAGATAGAGAACTCTTCTAATACGCCAATAGATATTTGAAGATCACATGCGAGCACTTTAATAGCCATCTAGTGGAAATAATTCTGGTGTGAGATTTCAAACGTTATCATCCGCCATTTTGTTTTGGATGAATATTTTCGTCTGAGATTCTGAGGTTGTATAGAGAATCGAAAGACCTTTCAATCGATGTATCTTTCGACCCCCCACTCCATTTAAAAAAATCTTCCAAAATGGCGCCTGGGCAAATAAAAGATCACCCTTCTCTGGGTTCCAAGGCATACCGGGGACCGGTTAGGGGAATTAAAAAGCAGTTAGACTCGCAAGGAAAAGGGCTGAAACACCATTTGTGGGACCCCAACCCTTCTGCGGGATGAGTGAAACAACAATACTTGGAAAATTGAACGAAAAAATGTATCTTATGGAAGCGAAACACTGGCAGGATCTGCAAGGTATGAGATAAGTGGTACACTCCAGAAAAGATCTACCGAATGAATCAACCTAAGTAAAAATAAGACCATATACTAACTGGAGTCCTATCAGGACACACTGTCCATTGAGAGGACATCTGAAGAAACCCCAGATACTAGAGGAAGAAGAGTGCAGATTCTATGATGAAGAGGATGAAAACTCCATCCACATCCTCCCGAATAGTGTAGTTCTTATCGCAACGCAAAAGGGCACTATCGGTCTAGTCTAGGAGCATATGAAATAGACGAAGAAGATCTAACCCTTCTTGAAACCATCCCATATATTATATTCAGAAATTTTTCAGTGGTGAAGGTATGAATTGAGGAGATCTAGGAAGCATAGCAAGAAGAAGGGACACAATAGATGTCACATGGGTCGCATAATATGTCACATTTATCTACACACACATACACATATATTAAATAATATGAAACATTTGTAGTGTACTTTGTATTGTACTTTGAATCACAATGGGCGAGTGGGTTGATTTTATGTCTTTCGTTATTGGTCAGATAATCTTTCATTTCCACTAATGAAGCAATAAGGTTGTCAAGTCATCATGATGAACTCATGATGTTATAGTTCATTCTTGAATTTTTCGAGCAACCAGCATGTCCAAATATTTCTTATTCTCTATAACAACATATCATGTAAATGTTGGAGACTTGGCAACATTGTGCTGAATGCTGAGAACTGACAAGACCACGCCCACAAGTCATGAGCCGTCTTTGTCACGTTCACCGATTCAAATGTCCCCTAGTGTGAATTAATATAATTATCATTTACAAAAATTTATATTAAGCAATGAGCCACAATTCATAAGGAAACATTTTGAGATAATTGAATTTTTATTGTTAATTAGGAGTATTACCAATAGTCAATTGACAATTTATGAATTATCAAATAACTAATATTTCTGAAGTTCCCAATCTAATTTCAACACATATGGCCCTACTTACGAAATCGTTGCATCGTCAGTTTTTACTGGCGGTAAATTTCTATCCGTTTGAAAATTACCGTGGCATTATTGATGATTTAAGCACCTAGAAATCGAGCAAAAAATGCTCAAAAATAATGAAATTGAAAGGTATTCGAGTGATGATTCTTTTTGAGAAATATTATGATGTTCAGGTCAACTGGGAGAGTCTTCTCATTCAAACCAAACATTTCAACCCCTCAAATATTGTTACACTACCAACATTTAACATTCATCTAATTTCAAGACCCTAGGCTAATCAAGTAGAGGTACGATAAGTAAATTAATTTCCCAACCTTCCATTTCATAAGCCAAACTAATATACGGATCTGGATTAATAGATAATAATACACGAAATAATCCGCTAACCTTCATCAAACTTCATTCCCGCGATTCCAATTCGTTCTCCGGTCCCTATCCCAGTGGAAAGCTGCCTTAATGACCGCCTGGAGAACGAAACTGTTTCTGCGCTAACCACCGAGCGAACCAGAGCCGATAGTATACTTCATTGCTAGTGATAAATCTCGACGGAGCCCGGCTTTTTAGGGACCCAGACTCGAATAATGCAAGATCCAGAATGTAATTACAATGATTTAAATCATGTTAGTAACGTGAAACATTTCGAATCCTGATTTATGGAAGACGCGGAACGCATTTCGAACGTGGGGGGATTTTTGTTGGGGCTGAAGAAGGCTGAAAATCCTATAAATATCATCAGATTGGGAAATATGCCGGAGAGAAATCAGACACTACTGGAATAATCTTGATTACGGGATCTGTGTGAATATATAGTATCTACCCCAACAAACAATGAACTACCGGGAAGTTACTGGCCCAATGCTTTCTTTGCTGGGATTTGAATCATGTTAGTAACGTGAAACATTTCGAATCCTGATTTATGGAAGACGCGGAACGCATTTCGAACGTGGGGGAATCCTATAAATATCATCAGATTGGGAAATATGGCGGAGAGAAATCAGACACTACTGGAATAATCTTGATTACGGGATCTGTGTGAATATAGTATCTACCCCAACAAACAATGAACTACCGGGAAGTTACTGGCCCAATGCTTTCTTTGCTGGGATTTAAATCATGTTAGTAACGTGAAACATTTCGAATTCTGATTTATGGAAGACGCGGAACGCATTTCGAACGTGGGGGAATCCTATAAATATCATCAGATTGGGAAATATGCCGGAGAGAAATCAGACACTACTGGAATAATCTTGATTACGGGATCTGTGTGAATATAGTATCTACCCCAACAAACAATGAACTACCAGGAAGTTACTGGCCCAATGCTTTCTTTGCTGGGATTTAAATCATGTTAGTAACGTGAAACATTTAGAATAATTCTGATTTATGGAAGACGCGGAACGCATTTCGAATCATGTTAGTAACGTGAAACATTTCGAATTCTGATTTATGGAAGACGCGGAACGCATTTCGAATCATGTTAGTAACGTGAACCATTTCGAATTCTGATTTATGGAAGACGCGGAACGTATTTCGAACGTGGGGGAATCCTATAAATATCATCAGATTGGGAAATATGCCGGAGAGAAATCAGACACTACTGGAATAATCTTGATTACGGGATCTGTGTGAATATAGTATCTACCCCAACAAACAATGAACTACCGGGAAGTTACTGGCCCAATGCTTTCTTTGCTGGGATTTAAATCATGTTAGTAACGTGAAACATTTCGGATTCTGATTTATGGAAGACGCGGAACGCATTTCGAACGTGGGGGAATCCTATAGATATCATCAGATTGGGAAATATGCCTGGGAGAAATTAGACGCTACTGGAATAATCTTGATTACGGGATCTGTGTGAATATAGTATCTACCCCAACAAACAATGAACTACCACGAAGTTACTGGCCCAATGCTTTCTTTGCTGGGATTTAAATCATGTTAGTAACGGGAAACATTTCGAATTCTGATTTATGGAAGACGCGGAACGCATTTCGAACGTGGGGGAATCCTATAAATATCATCAGATTGGGAAATATGCCGGAGAGAAATCAGACACTACTGGAATAATCTTGATTACGGGATCTGTGTGAATATAGTATCTACCCCAACAAACAATGAACTACCAGGAAGTTACTGGCCCAATGCTTTCTTTGCTGGGATTTAAATCATGTTAGTAACGTGAAACATTTAGAATAATTCTGATTTATGGAAGACGCGGAACGCATTTCGAATCATGTTAGTAACGTGAAACATTTCGAATTCTGATTTATGGAAGAC